ATAGCACATACATATGTTCATACATGCATACATGCATACATGCATACATACATACATACATACATACATACACATATACATTGTATACATATACATACACATATACATATACATACACATACACACACACACAGACACACACACACACAGTCAGTGTAATCTCATATGCAGAAGTTATGCTGCAGAAGCTATTGATGCAAGGCGGATCTGGCCTGCGCACGGAATTGCAGGAGCAAAGCCACAGTTGCAAAAACGCGATCGCTGGGGGGTGTCATCACAGCTAGATGCCTAAGCTCACAGGATGCTTCTACTTATGGCCGTGTGCGGAGTCAAACGCCAACTAAGACAAGTGCAACAAGGTGAAGCCATCATCGTCTCGCATCCCGAAAGCGGCGTGCTTGTTCTCCAATGCCTGGAATGCTGCAATGTTGTCCTTTCTTGTCTGGGTGCGAGTTGGCCGACTTGCCTTTAGAAGCTGGCGAGCTCGAGGAGGCTCAGCCGCACGAACAGCAGACCATAGCGCTGACAAAGTGCCATGCTCTACGTCCTTGTGCAGAGATGCAAAGAAGGCAGACATGCGACGGCCTGTCCATGCTGTCACAAATCGAGCGGTCCTCCCCATTCCACTTTCTGGCTGGGCTCTGTGACGGGACAGGCTGCTTGTAGCCCTGTGCATAAGACGAGATGCCCAAACAAGATCTGCAGGGGGCGGGTGTCCTCGGCATCCTCTGCGGCCGGGGCTGATCGGGCTGATTGCTGATCCTGCCCCCCGTGGCATGTCAGATGCGGAGAGCGTAGAGAGACACAACTTGTGCTTCCTTTGGGTCCTCGCTGACCTTTTCGCGTATCGTGGAAGGACCAAGCAGCTCCTCCTTGCACTCGAGCCAGAGGATGCCAAAGGAAGGTGATGAGCTGATCGTCCTCTGCGGCAGCTTCCCGGAGCCCATCCTGAAGTGGGCTGCATGCAGTGCTGCGGGCTGTGCCTGTGACTCTCTGCCTGAAACCCAGAGATCGTCTGACCAAGGGATCCCAAGCCTGTCTCGCATTCACCTCCGGCTTTTCCTTCGGCATCAACTTCTCCTCATGCACTGGGTACTTGCAGTGAGGAAGCATCGCAGTATGTCGCAGTGACATGTCGCAGCTCCTCTTCGCACCTGGTCACTCCTCCTGTTGTTCCATGCTCGCCGCCCTCCTGCAAAAGCAGAGCTTGCCGTGCAATCTTGTGGTGCTGCGATCCGGAGGGGTCCTGCAGTTGTTGCCGAAGAATGTCTTGCCTATCAACCCGTTGCCGCAAAGTACATCGGGGCAGTGCTCGACATCAAAGTCAAGAGAGGTAAACAGGTTCACGTCATACGAGGGATGCACACCCTGCAATGTTGCAGCTGAGCAGGAAGCAGTGCCCTGTCCCTATCTTAGCTCTATCCGGCAGGCCTCTCGGCGCACGCCATCTTGATAAAATCGCTGGCTCGCATGTTGTTCAAGGTGGTCCTGTGCAGCTGGGTGTGACACTTGCAAGAACGACAACGCCCTCAATGCGCTGCATGTTACAGCTTTTCCGGATAGGCCAATCAGCTCTCGTCGCGCACACGCCTAATCTCCTCTACAAGCATCTGCTGACCAGAAATCGGACAGTGGCCATGCTGTTGTACATGAGGCACCAGGCAAGTGTAGCAGAATGCATATCCACTGCACGACGTAGCTGCATTGGTGCGCCGGCGGTGGCATAACGCACATATGGTCCTATCTTCTGGCAGCAGGACAAGCTGTAGTGCCTGAGATGGACTTTCTAGATTTTCCGGATACGGGAAAGGCTCAGGAGGCGGAGGAGGTGCTTTGCGGGGCTGCAAAGGTTGCAGAATCTGTTCCCGCTGATACCACCACTGCATAAACTGAAGCAAGTAGATCCCGCCCCACAGGGAGCTCTTGCCACACACCACCACCAGGTCACGCACGCGTTGGGCCAGGCTTTTGTCACTTGCCTCATCTTGTGCCTGACTTGGGGGCTCCGGAAAGTGTCGCGCAAGCCGCAAGCCTAGAAGATGCAACCAAGGTGACCAGATGCCTGTTTGTTCCAGCAGGTAGAGAAGGCGATACGCGAATGTCAAGCCAGTGCTGGCAGTGTGTGCCGCCGGGTAGCACCGACGGAGGAGCATGTCTGCGCGACAGCTGTGCGTGCTTTGGGACACTTCCAGCTGCCTAAACCGTTCTTCGCATTTCGCCCAGATCCATGGAAAGACGACAGCAAGGATCAAAGACGCTCCGAGTTGCCTTCTGTTCAATGGCGGAGCATTTCGTCTCTGCCTCGCTCTCTCCAGGGCTTCCAGCGGCAACAACTCTTTCGACTCCTGTTGCCGCCTCAAGCCGAAAAAGTGTTCCGCGAAAGTGGCTCCGTGCACTCTTAGGTGGTACCCCTCAAGGAAGAAGAGGAACAGTGTATAAATGGCGTGCCAGTACCCCAGCACTGGCTGCAGAATACGTGGAGCCCTTTCTGCACCAATCTCCACGACAAATCTCAAGGCAGGCCTGAATATGTCGGATAACTGATCTTGTGCAATAAGCTCAAAGAAAGTCGGTCGAAAAATGTCTTTCCCTGCATATACACTGGTCAGGAAACCTTCGTAAGCAGCCATCCGGATCGTGTCACATGACCAAGCATTTATGCAGCAAAACGATCAGGATCAGGGCTCATGCTGCACCGCTGCAGCGACTGTCTCCAGGTCTGGGCTTTCCTATAATGATGCTAGCTGACACTTCCTGTTTCTCTGGTTTTCTGACTGTCATGCTTTGGTTAATGCATCGACGGCAACCTAAGTCTGCTTCATCTGACAGGAGAAGCTCTGCGCAAGATGCCATCAATACTTTCAGACTTAAACCACAAAGTCCTAAGTGTGAGCCTCTTAAGCCCTGGCCTCAGCGGGTCTGCTCGGTACTCGAGGAGCAGTTCTACAGCCTCGTGGCATCCTGCGCAGACAGCCTGCCGACAGCGTGATCACCAAGGCTGGTCCTACAGCGCCAGAAACCTCGTCCTGTGCTCTTGAGTCTGGAGTTCTGTGGCAGTTATTGCAAACAAAGGTGGCCCGGGTTGGAAGCTGGAAGCCCTGCTGCCTCCATGAGCGGCGTTTCGCCCAGGGGCTTGTCTGCAGCATCCGGGCAGGCCTTGGCCTCCAGGAGGACGCGACAAGCACCTGTCAAATTTGTACGTGCTACATGCCAGCTGCTTCCAATCTTGCCTGAAGAGGCAAAGGCACCAGCGCAGTTATTGCGGGCACAATCCGCAAAACAAAGCGGTCTCGTCGAACCCCTGCTCATGCTTCACTCGCTCGCCCACTGATGTCCACCGAGTGCGGAACCGAGCTGATCCGCTTCCCCACTAACCTCAGCTTCCAAGCCAGCTGCGACGCAAAACCTTGCTGTGACCATCGTCGCACCGGAAACCCTGCGCCGCGCGGCGCAGCTCATCCGTTGGCATACACAAAAGCCGCCATCCACTGGACTGGCTGCGATCAACTTACGCCGAGGAAGGTAATTTGCCAGGTTTGGGGTTGTTGCGGGCGATCGAAGACATTCCACGACGTGAGTGCACGCAATGCCAAGGGCCCTGCCAATGCACTTCGAAGAGCCAACATCAGCGCGGTCTCCCCGATCTTGTTCCTTGTGTCGACGCCTGAAAGGACGATGCTGACACCGCGACGCTGACGCCTCGAGCAATGCCACGCCGCCTCTGCTGGAGTCGCCAAGGCCCTGCACCTCAAGGACTCAGAGCCTACTCCTAAGGGTCATGACCCTGATGTTGCAGCTGGTCGACGTCTGGGAAATGCTTTGCTTCACCGCCCCTTACCGCACACACCTCTACGTATGCACAGACGCCACCCACGCCACACCCCCCACCCTCCGCGCGCATCATCAGTATCATTTAAGGCGAAAGAATGAGAGTCTCTGCTTAAGCTTGGTCCTGGCTACTGCCTGCGCTGAGTGGGTGCATCCCCTAGAATACACAATCATAATGTGAATCTGAGGCGTCCAGCCGAGAAACACGCAGGCTCAGCTTGAGCAGTCATGTTTTGTGCAGAGCACAAGTGTGCATCCTGTGCATTGCCCCGCCTCCTGAACGAGCAATTCCAAAGCCACCTCGGCTTCAGCTTCATGAGTCTGTTCGTGTTCCTCAAATGCCCCTGATCTGAACCCGCGCAAGTCCCTCGACCATGAAACTAGCAATACGGAAGGCCTAGAGATACGACAAAGAAAACGATGAGATCCTGGCTTGGCGTGTGAGCACCGGCACCTCTGCTGCCGCAACGAAGTGCAGAAGGGACTGCCTGGAGCCGGCGGACTGAACAGCTGGATTGCGCACTTTGAGGTTCTCGCAGCAAGTTTGCATCCAAAGCATTACGGGCCATGTTTTGCCCGTGCTCATCCAACATAGGGGTGCAGAGGTCTTGTGAGACGCGCTCTCCTTAAGAGACAGCAACCTTTGCCTTGCGCTCTCTGTATGTGGTGCTCGTAAATGCCTGGATCCAGTCCAAACGTCCGTTGGTGCATGTGAGCCAAGACGACTTGCTCCAGCACACAGGATGTCGAATATCTGCAGTCTGGAACCTGTGAAAACTGCGTTACAAGTAAGAGACTGTGGCCACTCGAACTTTTGAGATTGAATCCACTCAGGCTTTGTGACAGCCTTCATGTACAGCTGGCAACGATTTGCGGGAACCCTCTCACCGCGCTGGGTAGCGGGAGTTAGACTCCTCTGTTACCGCGAATTCTCCTCTTTGCTTCCTCATGGATGAGGCCCGTGCAGCAACACTTTGACACCCACTTCGAACGCTTCTTAGGCTGGCTGGAGGCTCTATGAGGCTCGCGCTGTGAGCAGAGAGACCTATCTATCACAAGGAGAACATGAGATTGTCAGAGTTGTGGCCATCCAGCAGTCGAACTTCCATGAGCTCGAACAGCCTGGGCCACGCAAGCACCGCCTCTGAGCAGATGCTCTGTGAAGGTCCGGATGATGTGCGGCAACTCAGCAGTGCATCGCAAGTAAACGTCGCCGACAACTAAGCAGCGACATGCAGATCATGCTCTCGCGGTTTTGTCCGTCATGACTCATGACCCCTGTGCTGAAACTACGTATGAAGTTCTGGTGTCGAGATCGATGTGTGTAGACGTCGTAAAGGGACTGTTGATCGTACAGACGAAGATGACTCAGCATGGCACAGAGTAAGGAATCTGGTTAACTTGCAGACTTGACAGAGACGCCTTTCAAAGGGCTGCGTATCATTCTCGAACTGCTGCAAGATCGCGTTGTTGGCAAGAGCCTCAAGACGAGGCTGAGAGCTGCCGTGCTCGACAAGACGAATCCTACTGTCTGTCATCGCCTGCCGCTCCTGGAAGAGCAGCAGCTGGTCCACCTGTCGATGGAGATTGTATGTAACTGCGGTGACACTGTGGCAGTCGTGCTGGCCTCAGCTTGATTGAGCTCCAGAACACCTTCAGACTCACCACGTTGAGTCTCCAAATTTCTCAGCACCTCATGGTCACAGCACGTGCTCAGTACTCCTCACCCTGTGTCAAGCACTTTCCTGCCTGCTGGGTAGAGACCAGTAGCTCCTGAGCTGCAACACAGGGTCAGTCCGTCCAGGTCGCCCCAGTTCTGTCGGCAGAGCTCGTTGACCTACTTTCAAGACCAAGACGCAGTTTGCATGGCTACCTCTCTCTCCACGCGCTCGGCAAAGGCAACTTCCAGCTCCTGCAGAGTTTCAACTTGCCGTGGTTGCCAAAGTTCCACCGAAGCTTCAGAAGCATTGGGGTTTGCCGTGTTTTCACTGGCCTGCAGCTGGGCTTGCGTCTGCCCGATCTCGACATCAAACTCATCAGGCAAATCCACCTCTTGGAGCTGCAAGCCTGCCCACATCAAACACTTCCCTGACACATCAGCCTCTTGAAAGATCTGTGCCCCCTGCCTTTGATGTTCGCTTGCAGACCTTTGTCTGGAAGTTGGAAGTTTCTTTCTAAGTCCTGCAGGGCCGCACTTCTGTCAGCTCATGCGCGACAGCCTTCTGCTACTCTGAAAGCCTCCAGCATAGCGGCGATGATGATGGTACGGTTGGTGAAGTACATGTCAGCAGGGAAATGCGAACCTTAATTCCGTTAATTTGCGAGAAACTGTCTCATGCTTTGATGCGTTCGGTCGCGGCCACTGCAGATGAAGGGCATGTGCTGATGATTGCCGCTCGGGCAAAGCGAACAAAAGCATCGTCATAGCCCTCCTCACCCAGCAGGTAGTACAAAGGGGTCAAAGCCTGAGCTTCGGAAGAAACGGACTCGCCGGCTCAGCTACACAAGTAATCTCACAGACCTCTCAACTTGCAGCAGTGCCTGCGGCTCGAGCTTCCACTGAAAGCTCACAGTGACCTTGGCGTGCAACTTCGGTGAAGGAGCATGGAGACACCTTGAGACTTTCCAGTCACAGAGTCTGCCGATTTGGTCTCGGGCATACATCTCCAGCCCATCAGCAGAGCGAGCACGGATAGGAGGCTTGACGATTGGTGGAAAGGCACTCTGGGAAGTTGCCTGAAAGGGCACGACGCCAAGCCGTGCAAATGCGGACACAAGTCACACACACACACACACACACATCAACACAGGAAGACGCACAAAGACTCAAAACAGTATGCCGTGCCTGCACACCTTGCGTCGAACTGGCGAAATACATGGTCTGAAACGTCGATGGATATTCCAATAGACTGTTGCCCAAACCAATGAACCTGCTCAGCTGCGGCAGGCTAGTCGTCACTTCTTCGACCACTCACCAGGCTGGGTGAAGGCATGATAATGCGAAAGCTTGGTCCACTGGGGTCGTGGCTTCATTCCAGCTTCCGTCTCCTCAGGTGGTGGAACACCGCTGACCCGGCTGCCAACACACACACGCGGTACAGCTGCTTCGTCGCGGGGCCGCCGCACAATCCGAAATGCCCGCCCAACAACCAGAAGTGTTTCGCTGTAGCTATTGCGAATCCATGTGCAGCACAGCCGCAGGCTCGTCTAAAATGCTTTGCGTCAGCCAAATCCTGTGGTGCAGCATCGCATGTCACTTGGTGGTACAACCTCTCAAGTGGAGGTTATCGGGTACAGTACCGGATGGAATCACAGGCCGTAAGCATCGGGCAAATTTACAGCATACTTGCCCTGTTCCATGGACCTCAGCTGCTCTGACTTTAAAGGCTACGCCGCATGCGCAGGCACAGCAGCGCATACTCACGAGTGCTTCCGCCCAGTAGCCGCAGGGAGAGAACTGCAGCCTAAGAGTTGTGGAGGCATACCAAACTGAATACAAGTCCAGTCCTGTGTTCCTGTGTTCACAAATGACAAGCATGCCACCGCAAAGCACGAGCAACCGACAAAGTGTTGTAGCAAGACCTTCTGCCGTGCTAAGCTTGCCGCGACAACACCAAACACCAGCCAAAAGCAGCCTTGACAGCAGATAAAACCGAACATTCTAACTCCACACACATTGACACAAAGCTGCCCGAGGCCGGAAAGTAGCCCTAGCTCGTTGCAGTCGAGGCTCAACAAAAGCAGCCACATGCTTTGAATATTTGAATATTTTCAATGCCCATGTTGGCACCTCAGTTTCACAACCCAGGTGTTTCCGAGCTCGCTGGGATAATGCAGAAAGCACACATGTCCGTGAGGAGGCCTTTCTTCACAAGTACGGGGCCGATCGGATGTGGGCTTTTCATGCCAATCATGTTGCGGACAGGTTGTGTACAGCGCGTGCTTCCCAGTTGGTGCGGTCCGGCGATCGTGTTGTCAACGATTGGGTTGATCGCCGAGTGGAGCAGCTTCTGACTTTCCAGGTCGCGGTCGCCGTGTTAGAGGCCGTTCAAAGCCTGTTGCCCAAATCTCCGGCCAAGTGCCCCGCCAAAAAGCCGGCTTCTTGGGAGCCGTATCGGTGGGCATGTTTGGGTGTCTTATAAGGGAGGGGTCACTTGTAGGAGTCTAGGATCAAAAATGTCTTTTTTTTTTTGTGTCAAAATGTCTTT